CCTCGAGCATAATGAGTAATCTGTCTGCTTAAGGTAACGACTGCACAGGTAATCCCTCTAATCCTTAACCTTTCGGGTTGAACCATCTCTACGATTGGATTCAAGTGGCTTGTGGCTTGCGTAGCTCAATACGCTTGGATTGTCGAGTATCAGCACTCCTATATGAATAGCACTAGAACAATAAAAATTTTGGAGTAGTGGGCTAACATTATTGTTTACTGTTTCCTATATCTTAGATTCCAATTTTTTAGAAATAAAAATGTTTGGTAACGGTTTCTATTTCTTTTTTTCTCACTTTTAAGCATCATTCTGGATAATCAAATAATAGAATCTAGTTTCTTACTTCTTGTTTATGTTACATCATGTGTGGCGTGAAAATCACAATGCCACGTGGAGGACAAAGAGAGGTCCAAGAGGGGACATCTTGAGAACAAGCCATCTCGGACGATTCTGAGGTGGCATACTTAGTTGCAGATACTTTAAAGGGGCGTACCCATGGTGCGACCAGCGTATGGGTCCAACCCAGAATGTGAAACATGCCCGCCTACAGGCTTACACATATAACCGCTTGTTGGAAGGCCTGTCGGACCCCTAACCTAAAAATTGAGGGAATCACTTCCGCAACAGGTATCAAATTCTATCTCGAACTTCTTAGTGAGTCCGAGCTTATACTCACTTGAGCATGAGATTGTTTGTCTATCTTGTGCATATCATTCCTACACAAGACTTGTCAACTATTCTACGTGTCTCACCTTGAATAGGCCATACCTCATTCAGTTTACCGCATAAACACGCCCTTAATTAATCTTTTCAAATTAAATTTGAATTTCATTTTTTTATATAAAATATTTTCCAATCGAGACCTTTTATCATTAAACATTATGCAAAAGAAAAAAAAATTGTATGTGTAGGAATTTAAAAGAGGTATTCTTTTATGAACCAATTAAGTATAATACCATTTTTAATTAATGGGTCATTTTCTATATTAACAAGTCATTTCATTATCAATAACTACGAGTTTCATCTCAAAATCAATTGGCAATAAGAAGAGTAATCCAACCTTTGTTAGTTCCTTTAATCTTGTGAGATCTTTAACATGCCCCTCAAGATGGTACCTTTTTTAGGTTCATCAATCTTAGGATGGATCCCATTTTGGATTGGATGCTCGTTTGAGCTGTTGAATTTTGATATCATATTAATGTTTTATGGTAAGAATGAATAAACCTACTCAACTAAAAAATTTAAGTTGATGGGTTGGATAAATTAATTCATATACGTGTATCTCAACATTCAAATCAAAGAAGTTGCTACCAACCAAGTCATATAAAATGTAATGGTATTAGATTATGGATAGATATCTAGTTATTCCAATTCAATTTAAAAACCATATTTTGACGTGAGAATCATTTTATATCAATGGATTTTAGTAATTTCGACACTCTAAATTTTATTCAAAATTAGTATGAAAAATGTGTGTGATGATAAATTAATGAGAAAAGAAGTGTGAGTAAGAAAAGAAATGGGGTACAGGAAAGCATTAAGATAGTAATTACCAAGAGAAAATTAGTTACGGAGAAAGTACATTTACGATTATTTTTATTTTTATTATTATTTTTTTAGAATGTGGAGAGTAATTATAAAACCAAAGTGCGACACAAAAGAGACAAAATGTTTAGAAAAACACTTTAACAAACGTCAATGTGAATTTAGTTAAGTGGTAATTGACATATATTTTCAATTAAGAGGTTGATTCGGCAAAACAACCATTTGAAATAAATCCAAGCATGTCTAACTAATAGAGACATATATCTCTTACTAAAATCTTGTGGTTTCTATTTCAAAAAATATATATATATATATCTTGTGGTTTGGAATGTACACTCACGCATGTATTATTGTACTAAAAAATTTAAGATTATGTTCAAATTTAAATATGTCACTTTCCTAGTAATAATTCATTAAATATTGTAAATTTGAGCTATGTTCAACTGATTAAGCTATATAGCTATATAGTTAATTAGAAAAATATTACAATAAAGTGTAAATTGCCTTTTAAAATTATTACAATCGGTAGGTGTTAGGTTTCATCAATAAATCACCACCCGAAGTCAAGTATAAATTAATTAATCATAAATAATTCATACTTAATATCAAGACATTTTGACAAGTAATAGAACAACTTGCTAAGATCAAAATAAAAATTATTATGTAACTTTCTCATGCTCTACGCTCAATAAAAGTCTTGCTTAATTGCACGTGACCACATATTTAAGCCTTGTTTGGCAATGTTCTCGATTTTTGTTTTTGTTCTTCATTTCAGTTTCTTGTTTTCTATTCTTTATAAATATAAATGTGTTTCGTAATTGTTCCTTATCTCAGCTAGTGGGTTTTTTTCTTCTTAATTGAAAAAAAAAACATGTTTGTAAATCATTTCTTTGTTTTTGTTATCTAAAATTTTTATGTGAAAATTAATTTTTTAAATAAAATATTCAAATTTTTAATTTATATTTTTTAATATTTATTATACATTTTGTAAGTCAATAATAATATTGAAAAAGCTGGAAATGAGAACAAAAAATAAGAACTTAATTTTGTTGTTTCCAAAATTCCAACACAATTTTGAAAATGTTTCTTAAAAATGAAAAACGAGAAATGATACACTTAGAGCCGTAGGCAATTCAGATTCTATTTTGTTTTTAAGAATATTGGTTTGGTAGATTTATTTTTGAAAACTATGCAAATTATGAAACAATATTTTTATACTCGTGTACTTTTTTATTTTTAATTTGAAAATTTAAAATGTAGAATTACATTTAAAAAGATAAAAACATTATAAATATAAAAGATGTTATAAATTATATAATTAATATTGTAAAATAATAATTATACCAAATTTATAACATATATGTTAATTAATTAATTATTATTATTTTAGATGTAACTAAATATTTAGCTAGTGACTACCATTGCAAATATATATTACTAAACACGTTTAATAGTTTTTAAAATTGAAATTTAATTTCTTAATCTACAACCAAATACAGATTCAAAAGCACTAAAAATAGAATGTCACTGAATCCATTGTTTTGGTATTACCAACTAAATGCATCCTTATATTTTTAAAAAGTTGTAAACAAGAAACAATAACGAAAACCTTACCAGACGAGCCTTAACAATTCCATTCGTGAGCACAAATATCGAATCTCTTACCATAACGTGACACATATTGAATCTGTGAGAGTAAACTCCCTCTATAAATGTGTGTCGAAGCTGGCATTATTCTTGGCAAAAACATTATTTTGCTCAGCTCAAAGTACAACAATTCAACTTGTTGAATTCCAAACCAACACAATGACTCTCAAAGGAAAGTTGAAAGCCGCTGTAGAAATCAAGTCTCCAGCTTCAAAGTTTCATGAACTGTTAACCAAGAGATCACACCATATTTCAAACGCTTCTGGGGACAAAATACAAGACTGTCAGTTACATAAGGGAGATTGGGGCAAAGTTGGTTCTATACTCTATTGGAACTACTTTCATGGTTTGTTTCATAAATTTTGTTTTGTTTTGTTTTTTTGTTTTGTTAGTTATTCTTTATATGATTAAATTTACCCTAATTCGTAAGCTTAAGATTTCGGGTTCATTGGTGATTTAATTATATTTAAGATGATATTAGTATGTAGGAGGTCGAATGGAAGCATTGTCATTTCCTCCCCATTTAAAGTTTAAGCTTAAGCTTTTGAGTTCATCATTGATTTAGTCTCGTTTAATTTTAAGATTCTTTTTACTTTAAACTGTAGCATGCATATTAACCAAAGTATTACATTTCCTTCGACATTTCTATGTGTCCATGAGTTCGACATTGATATTGTCATAGTATTACAAAAAAAGTCAACAAAACATAAAAAAAATATATATATAAATTTCAAAAAAATATCATTAATATAGACATAATATTAATACTAATCACTTTTAATTTATATAGAAATGGTGAAATACTTGTTAAATTTAAATATTTTTTTATAACCTTTTTCTGGAAATATCCATCAACATCGATATTTTCATCGACATTTTCATGAGATTTAGATCGACATCGACACCGATATTTAAAACCTTGATATTAACCTATGCATTGTTTAACCACAGATGGGAAGGCTAAAGTTGCGAAGCAAGTGAATGAAGTAGTGGAAGAAGACAAGAATTTGATCACTTTCAGAATTATAGAAGGAGACCTTTTGGATCACTATAAAACCTTCAGGTTTACAATGCAAGTTACTCCAAAGGGTGAGGGAAGTGTGGTTCACTGGACTTTGGAATATGAGAAACTGCATGAAAACATTCCAGACTCATATAGCTTGCTTGAGTTTGTCGTGGCCATGTCCAAAGACGTTGATGCTCACCTTATGAAAGGCAATTAGAAATCATGACCACAAGATTTCCACTCTATATATGCTAAATAATTGCTTGTATGCATGTATTAGTTTTCTTTGTGCATGTTTCTATGTATCCATGCCTTAGAGAATTGTATACTAAATAAATTGTACTATTAAATTATAGTATGGGAATAAAATTACTAAAATTATGTCTGCTAAAATTGTTTTTCATCACAAACATGGTCTCACATAAGAGTGGAAGATTCATATTAAATATAAATGAAAAATATAGATTTTTTAAAATAATAATGAGCTGTCAAATATTTAGCATAGAACAATTATTTTCGAGTAAAGATACCGTATCATTGTTATGAGATTTTTGAGTGAAATAAAAAGAGAAGTCAATGCCAACTTTAGGCTCAAAGTAGACAATTAAAATACCATTATAGAAATACAAACAGGTTGGTTTTATCCTAACAACATCATTTTACCATTATCTAGTTTTTTTATATAATAAACATACAGGGAATTGAATTAATATAATCTGTAAGGACGACAATGATTCCTTTAATGAGAACATGACCTTATAAATTATTTTAGTACAAACACTTGAAATCCATTTAGAAATGGTTTCAACACTAATGCATCCTCTGTAATACTGTAGTATAAGAAAATAGACATTTAACTCTAGTATCTTAAACGATGACAACTTGAATTTAGCACAATTGGTTAAGGTATTTATATCTCTAACCAAAAAGTCGCAAGTTCAAATTTTTATCCCTACATGTTGTATTAAAAGAAATTCTATATATATTTTGTTAAGGATCCCACGTTGAAAAGAAAATGGATCTAACAATTGTTTATAATAGAAATGAGCTACTCCTTTCATTGCCAATTAATTTTGAGATGRAACCTCATGAATATTGATATGATATCCGACCCCAAAAGCTCGAAATCTTGAGGGGCATGCTAAGGTTGCCAATTGGTTTTGAGATGGAACACATGAATATATATATATATATATATATCCTCCAGATATTAATAATGGCGGATGTAAAATATAAGCCAGCTTGCTTAATCTTCCATACATCTTCAATGACTGTTAAAGTCTTAGATGTGACACAAATTTGTTAGGAAAATGTAGCCAAAACAAGAAATGGAGCTGCAACAGCCACTGRGCGAGGCCACAACGATCACGTACTACTTATAGCGCCTATGTGCTATCACAATTGAGACAATAAAAAAGGCGTGCACGAGGCATTGATACTATGAAGTTTGTAGCGCCATGATGCTACGAGAGGTTTATATGCATACAACTTTTCTGCTATTTTAAGCATAAAAGAAGATGCGAGCGGCAACAGAGTTGAGGGAAGATAGGAAGGAGGTCGTACTAGAGCTTGGCTGTAGTCCATTCTTTATGGGTTTAACGAGTGGTATTTATTGTATAATCTTAAGTAGCCATTGTCGTGGTACTTATAATCTAGGTAGTCATTGTCGTGATACCTTAAGAGTATTGTAGAGCGAGAAAGAGAGGATCGGAACATTGTAATGTTCACATCATATAGTAGAGAACATAGAGAACATGTCGTTGGAAAAGACTTGGACATAATTCCAAGTTTGAGGCGCACCAATATAAACTCTAGGTGCTCCAGGGACAAAACATAGGATAGAATATTGCACCCAGGCATTTGTGACAATGATCAGGCCAATTAGACACATATTTTATGTCAGCTTTTGGGGAGAAAGAGGAGATCCATGGAGGCTGCAGCTGAAGACAGTTTTTAAGGGAGCATCATCTTCTTTTTCCTTCCTTTTCTTTTCTTTATGTTTTTTATTAGTGCTTTTTAGATTTTTAACTTGATTTTGTGTTAGATTTTGTTTCCATGGCACGATGTAACAAAAACTATGAACTCTTCAGTTTTCATGAATTTATGACTAACGATCTTATTTCCTTTGTTGAGTTAATACTATAATCTTAATACTCGTAGTTTCTTGAACACCAATTGCATGATTTAAGATTTAATTTTAGATTGAGGGATGAGAGTGAATCAAACCTTAAATGTTCGTTACATTACATTGGTAAGACAAAAATGTTTATGAATTCTTGTGTAGCACATTCATGAATCTCCTTGACTTTAATGCCTTTTAGTAGGTAACAAAATTTCACAAAGAATGTAGGAATTTTTCTATCAAACTGTTTGCTAATGGTTGAGAAAGATTAGTAATAAATTAGGGAAATTCGCTATCAAAAACAAACAAAGTTAATTAATTATTATGTAACATAATATTAATTTTTATGGAATTAATTCAGAAATAATTTGAAGGATTTTTTTATGGGAACTCCTGTGAGTTCTTAAAACATGAACTATTTGATTTTTATCTTCTAGGCTAAAAGCAGGTAAGTAAGTAATAATCGCAAAGGAATAAAAGATAGGGACAGAAAAAGCTTAACACCAAAGGAATTCTCCTAGTTCGCCTCAATCATAGGACTACGTCCAGTCTTCTGCAAAAAGCAGGTTCTACTATAGTTTAGAATATTACAATGGAGATCTCAATCAATATATTACTATCTTGCTTCGAAGTACCATAATGATGGCTACCTACGATTACATAATTGAAAACACCCTCACTAAACCCAGGGGATACAGACTCCTTTTCACACATTGCCCACAACCACTCAAGACTACTTTATTTGGATTCTGTGCTAATAAAACCTTAACAGAAATGTTTTATTTATAGGAGGCCAACTATCTTAATCCTTATAAGAAAACAATATCCTATTAGGAAATGGTAGTAGTATTGAAAAATCTTCTTCTTGTAGGACATGGGTCTCCTGATTTGGCTCCATTATCCCAACAATCTCCCACTCGGAGACCGAACATCGATCTTGCCTTCCACTGCAACAGCAGTCTCTAATAATCTTCAAAAACTTCAAGACTTCTTCTACAACAACTTCTTATCTTCTTGAAAAATCTTAAAGGCTTCTCCTGGAAGTTTAAAAACATGTAAAACAAAATATCATAAATCACTACTCCCATCTGTCTTTGATCTTAGGTCGGGCAATATACGTGGTCTTTTCTCCTAGACGCAAAAGACATAGCCACATGCTCCCACTCAAACTAAGTGGCGATATCTGAAGCGTCCTTCTTCGTTCTCAAACACTTATTCTTGAAGAAAGAACTTTCCACTGATGACTTGACAACTCTATTCAAGTATATTGCCAAAAGTGAAACTCCATTATTCTTTAACTCAGCACCTACTGGGTTCATCTTCTTTGGTACAACTTTTCATTGACACGACTTCATCAATTCACCCATCTGTCTGACAACTTGGGATAATCCCTTCTGTTCTTTAGGTTGGCAGCAATTGTTGTTCCTTAATTGATGGCAAATCCTCCTAATCTAATCTGGTTATCTTAGTTGCTGGCTCAGTCCTACTTCTTTGGACACCATCTGCAACTTGTATCCATTGTTTCAATGATCCTATAACAATACTCAATCACGGCGCGTAAACTATAGATCTTTTGTGGCCAATTGCCACCAACTTGGATCCTTTTGCAAGCTTCCATTGGTTTTCACCAAACTCACTCTGATAATCATCATCATCCAACTGTAGATAAGATTTATTCTAATACTGGGTACATACCTGAAATATTGTTGTAATAACTTAGTCCCACTATTGATTTTCAATTGTATATTTCAATCTCTTTAGTCTTGAAAATATTTTCATTCCCCATCATCACGTAGCCGCGATTAATAAAAGTATAGTTTAGGTATATTACAAAAGACTTCACACACATATATATATTGAAAAAAGAGAGAAAGAGATAAAAAAATTTGAGAGGGAAGTGTGAGAATTTAGATGGGAGAGGAAAGAGAGCGTAAAGACTATCAGAGAGATGGAGGAATGTAGATGGATGGGAGAGAAATTGAACAATTCATAATGAGACAATATTAATTTGAGAGAAAATATTGGAGAGAGAGAGAGTTAGTTGGAGGAGACTCCGGACCCGTGCGGTGAGAGAAAGTGAGAATTAAAGATTAATTTCGTTGATCATGAATTCTGTCGAGCTATCAACCATCGGCTTTCGATAAACTCGAATGAGATGTGTAGGAGCGAGCTACTCAGAGATTGATCTACAAAAAGAAAACAAGCACTTTGAAGCACCAGTTAGCGAAGGGGTTCAAGCTTAGTAAGTCGATCTCAAACAAAGTTGCATATCAAGGGGTAATTCCCCTTTTATAGGCATAATGGGGGGACAAGTCCGATTGTTTCGATAAGATGTTGTAGCAATCACCGACTGTCGGATTTGAGGTCGTGATCACTTCAGTTAGGTCAAGTAAAACTTGAGAGATTCCTTAGATTCTCCAAGTTGTCTCAGCTCGGCTTTGGTCGTAGATAAGAACGTTTCCCTTCGGATGGGTAAGAATGATTGCTTCTCCCGAGCTAAGTTGACTAGTGTTGAGATAATGGAGCCAAGCCAAGGAGAAAATCTTTAAGAAAATGTATTTTTTTTTAATTTTTCCTTGTCCTATTTATTTTGGGCCTTTTTATTTTCCCTTTCCCTTTCCTTTTTAGTTTTTTTCATACCATCTATTATAAATAGAGAAGATAGATGAGTCATTTGATTGGTGTGCACAAATAAAGAATCGTGAATAATTCTCCAAGAAAAGAGAGTTTGAGCGATAAATACTTGTGTATATCCGTTAGAGAGTTTGAAAGACTTGTAGAGTAATTTGTGAGCGTTTTATGTGTAAGGAAAAAGTGACAGAAATCATTGTAAAGGGCTTGTAAACTGTTGGGAAATTCTTCCTGACATTTTAGTGGAACATGCAATGGTAGCAACGTAGCCCACATTGGGTGAACCAATATAAATCTATCGTTTAATTTTCTTATCCCTAATCTTTATTTATCGTTCTTTTTACTTAGAAGTTTTAGATTATTTTATCTAATCTTTTAAGTTGTAAATTCCAATTTGAATTTCGATTTCCGCATTAATTGGAATCAGAACTTTATCTAGGATTAGCTAACAACTATTGTGAGATAATTATTAGTTGGTTGCTGTTAAAGATCCTTCATTGAAAAGGAAACGAACCTAATAAGGGTTTATAATAGACATAGGCTACTTCTCCCATTGCCAATTGGTTTTGAGATGTAACCTCATGAATATTAATAGTTGCATTTTTTTTTCTCAACAACTAATCCACGTGTCATGTCGATTTTTAGTGCAATTTGAGGGAAAAAAGTATTTCGAGAGAGAATTGAAGATTAATTTGATAGTGGAATTTTTGGGAAAAATTGTCATCAAGGTAGTAAAAAGGTTTAGCTTTTTTTTTTTCATATTTTCACCTCTCTTATTCGTAAAAACAATGTGTGAGAATTAGGGAAATTGTGTATTCAATTCAATGATGGATTACATTAACTAATACATTAGTGAAAATTAAGTAAATTGAAAATTTATATTTGAGTAATTCTATATTAATATTAATTCCATTAATATTTTTAATTTTTCAAAATTTAAAAATATTAATAAATAATTTATTATATTTTTAATATATAAGAATAAGATAAGCGGATAGCAGGAATCGAACCCGCATCCTTAGCTTGGAAGGCTAAGGGTTATAGTCGACGTTGATACATCATTTTTAACGTCTCTAATTCAAGACSGTTGGAGATGATTTTAGAATAAATTATTTTAGCAAAAAAGATTAATGATAATTGATCCTGTGAAAGTAACTTTTATAAGAAAAGTTTAAAAAAAGAGAAAAAAGTCAAGGGAGAAATTTTAGAGGATGAAAGAAATTTTTTAGAAAAAGAAATAAACATAGAAATAGATGGGCACTGAAAATTTAGAAAAAGATTACAAAAATTTTAAAGATAAAACACTAGAGACAACAAATAAATTAAAGATAAATAAAGTTAGATTAGAAAAAAATTTATATAATAATAAAAAAAATTCTCAAAATTTAAACTGAAACTAAGGTGAAATAGAACACATATTTGAAATTTAAAACAAYAATCATTTTAAAAATTAATATCCTATTTCAATTGAAAAAATTAATATCCTAATAATTTTGTTATCAAAAGTCACTTGGAAAATCACCTTTGAAGTAATTGACGGAGAATAATTTAAAGTGATTTTGGATTTCTCCAAAATCACATCGGAATCGCCCTTGGAACAAGGTAAAATTGGTATATTGTTTCTTTTATATGTATTCTATAAAATTAAGATTGCATTCAAAATTTAACATCTTACTGTCAAATCAAGCATAACTTAAGGCATCTATCTCTAACAAAAAAATCATGAATTTTCATCCCGTACTAAAAAAATTTAACATCCCACTTTACTGACAATAAATTCACAGTAATGGATTTATCAAAAAAAAAATTTTTTTGACAGTAATGGATTAAAATTGTTCTATTATAATAATAATAATAATAATAATAAAGACATTTATAATTACGTTTAAATTAGCTTTTAAAATTATTACATTCCATTGTAAGATTATTCATCAATAAGTCATGTCATAAGTCAAATTTAAAATAATTATCAATAATTCATTCTTAATCTCGAGACCTTTTTTTTTTCAAGCAAGAGAACCACATGTTTAAGGCCAAAGAGACAATTTTTGTTCTATTACTATCATCACCATCATTTATAATCAGGTTAATCATTTCTAAGGCTCACTTGATAACTGCTTAGAGCTCGTTTGATAACGTTTTTTGTCCTTAGTTTTTGATTCTGTTTTCTATTTTATTCTTTTAAAAAATAAATATTATATATAGATTTTTTATTTTTTAAAAACAGAAAAAGGAAACATTTTTATGACCTTTTGTTATTTAAAAAGTTAAATAGTGTAGAAAAGACATGCTAGATAAATAAAAGTTTATGTAGAGTAGAATAACAACAGGGTTGGGCGGAAGTTGTAGTTGCCCTCCCCATCCTTATCCTCTCAATCCTTGTCTCCATCCTATTCTCTCATTCAAGGTTGAGTAATTTTCATTTGGGGTCCAGGATCTTTTAGGAAGATTGAGGATTTTATTAATTAATTTTAGCTATTTTTAGAATTTAAAAATAAAAAAGAATATTAAATACATACACTTTATATCTATTTTACTAAAAAGTATTGTTTAATAGTATAAATACTTAGTTTTCAAAATATTAATATTTTAGTTGTAATTAGTAAAATAGTTAATAAAATATATATTAATTATTTAAAAAATGAAATTAGGGATGGTGTCGAGCCATGGTGGAAAATATATTCTCTTGGACATGGACCAACCATGGAGATTTTTTCATACCTAATTAGCAACATGAAAATAAAAGTGTAGAGAGATGCGGAAAAACTTTTTAAAGAAAAAATTTTAGAGAAAGTAAATTTAAAGAAAGAAAAGTCAGAGAAAAAATAATTCAGTGAGAGAAAAATTAAAACTAAAAACGGAAAATTTTAGAGAAGTTAGGGTAAAGTTTAGTGCACTATATATGTTGGAGAAAGAAAGAAAAATAAATAAATAAAAAGAACGACACAAAATTAAAAGAGAAAAAATTTGAATTAGTTGGAGGGTAAAAAAATTGTTACTAGAGGGTGATAATTAATGTAATTTTGGAAATCTTGGCTAAGTTTTGAGGAAAAAAAAATGTAATATTTGTTTTCTAAATTTCACTAAAATTTCAAATGTGTTTTCCAGAGGGATGATAATTAAACTTACTAATAAAAATATACAAAACCAAACTTAATTTTAAAAAGTAGAAATCTAAAAACAAAGTAGTTATCCAACCACCCTCGACGAAATCTGAACAACAAACACAAGAATTATGTCTCAATAAAAAGGATTGAATAATTAACTTATTGAATCGTGTGAGATAAACCCTTTCTATAAATATGTGGCAAATCTTTCATGCATGGCAAGAGCATAACCTTTCTTCGCTTAAAAGTAGAAAAAAAAAAACTTGTTTTCAAAACCAACGACACAATGTCTCTGAAAGGGAAGTTGGAGGCTGATGTAGAAATCAGTGCTTCAGCTTCAAAGTTCCATGAAATGTTCCACAAGAAACCACACCATATTTCCAATGCTTCTGTTGACAAAATACAAGATTGTCAGCTACACGATGGTGATTGGGGCAAAGTTGGTTCTATTATCTGTTGGAACTACTTTCATGGTTCGTTTCATCAACTTTTTTTTTTTTTTTTTAGTTTCTATTTTGTCAAAAGAACCATCATTTTTAGTCTCTGAGATTTAAATTTAGTTTCAATTTCAGTCATTGAAGTTTCAAAATTGACATGTTTGGTCCACCCAGTTTTAGTTTAGTTTTTAATGGGTCTTTGAGTGAAGTTGACCATTAGTTAACCTAATTGCATTCTTTGTTCTTTATTATTATTATTTTTTAATACAACATATTGGGATGGGGATCCAACTCATAATTTTTTGGTAAAAAATAGGTGTTTTAATCAATTGAGTTATGTTCAGGTTGGCTGTATTTTCTTTTTCTTTTTCCTCCTCTCCCTGTATATTAACTCATGCAGTGTGTTGAATCACAGYGGGGAAACCTGAAGTGGCAAAGCAGGTGATTGAAGCAGTGGATGAGGAGAAGAATTTGATCACTTTCAAGATGATAGAAGGAGACATTATGGATCATTATAAGAACTTCAAGTTCACAATGCAAGCAACTCCAAAGGGTAAGGGAAGTGTGGTTCACTGGACTTTGGAATATGAAAAACTCCATGAAAACATTCCAGATTCATATTCCTTGCTTGAGCTTGTTATGGGCATGTCCAGAGACATTGATGCTCACCTCATCAAGGGCAATTAGAAACCATGACCAACAAGATTTCTACTCTATGCTAAATAAAATTGCTTGTATCAATTCTCTTTGTGCATGTTATGTATTCATGCCTTAGGGAATTGTAAAGTATACTATATGAAATGTACTATTAAATTATAGTATGAGAATAAAATTTGCTAAAATTGTTTTATGATTGAAGTTTGGAAAATCATTGATATTACGTTAGGGATTCAAACAGTCTCACACATGGGAGTGGAATATTGATAGTCAATAAGTAATGACGTCATGTTCCTTGTTGTTAGACGTTTTAAGTGAAACAAAAAGTAAGGTCACGTGGTCTAAAACTCCAAAGCATGTAGACATTAGAATATCATTATGAAAATACAAAGAGGATMATTTTATTCTAGARGTTATGGAAAGAGCTTGAAGCTATGAAACACGAACACATATTTTTGGGCGAAGCATTTGTACCGGACAGGTGTTGGACACGCATTTGGTGTGTCCGATTTTTTTTTAAATCGAACATCGGGTGGACACGAAATGGACACAGTAGCTCACTTTTTCTGAGTTTTCTTAATCCAAATAARAAAGCCCAATGCCCAGTAGTAATTAAAAACAAACAAATAAATGATTAAATAATCTAATTAGCACCCAACCACAAAAAAAAAACACACAGCAGCCACCCACTCTACGAAGTCCAC